GCCAGGGGGCCAATAATCCACAGGCTCAAGGGCCATTTGGTCTCTGACACAGCTGCTCAGCTCTGCCACCGGGGGTGACACAGCCACAGACAGCAGGGAAACGAACGACTGGGTGTGACGGCCTCCGCCTGGGGTCTCTCTGCGGGGGAAGGGGTGGGGGGTGGGTACCTGCGGACAACCTCCCCGCCTCATCTGTAACCAGGCTGAGGGTGTCCTCCCCCCCGACTGACACTCCCTAGGCCAGCCCTCTGGGATGGCTGTTTTTTTGGGGGGGGCGGGGTGAGGTGGAGGGCTTCTTCCCCAGGAAGCCTGGTAAACAGGAAGTAGTAGCCCCATCGTCCAGGGCAGGTGGCAGGGCGGGAGACTCTCAGCTTTTGGAAAAGTACTGCTGACAACCAGGAGTTAATCAGGCAGTGACCCCACACCTGGGCCCGGGGAAGAGGTGCAAGCCTGAGGGAGGAAGGCAGCAAACTGCCCTGAGCCTTCCCTCCGGGTCATGGTCATGGTCACCGCGAGAGGAAATTGAGGAGGCGAGGAGGCCAGGGAGTGACAGATGCTGTCCACAAAGCAGGACACAACAGGTGCCCCGGGGACAGGAGATGCGAGCCTGTAATTAAGGCCTCCAGACACTGTTGGGAGCTTGCCCATTCACACCCCTAGCAGGTGGTTTACACCTCTGAGAGAGGAAAAAAACAGAGGCTCAGATGAAAAGCTCTGCAGCCCTGGGCCAGCCTGCCTGACCTGCCCGCAGCTCCTACCTGACATCCCTGACACTTAGGGACAGTCCTGGGGTGGGGGGGCTCTGGCAGTGCTGCAGCGGAGCTGTGTGACCCTGGGCAAACTCCTCGGCCTCTCTGTGCCTCACGCCCCCTGTCTTTATCAGGATTCCATGGAGTCAGGTTCCGCCCAGGGGACCCCTGTGCTCAGCAAATATTTACTGGGCGCCGCTCTGTATCGGACCTGTGGACACAGCGGCGGAGTGTCTGAGATTCTAGCCCGGCGCGTGTTGGGGCGGAGGGTGTCGTGCTAAACCACCACGTGGACAGCCCTCCAAGGGCAGCCATGAGTCGGGCTGGGTGGACCGCAATGGGGGCTGCAGAAGGAGACAGGCCAAGCTACCCTGGCTGGGGGTCGGGCCTGAGGCAGCGGGAGGAGGAGCTGAAGGCCTCAACTTAAACAGCAGTCACTCAGGGGCCTGGAAAACTGCCCGCTGAGAGGAGGCGCAGTAGGAACAGCTCTGCTCTCCGCGTGCCTGTCCCGAGCTGTGTGTTGAGCTGGGTGTCTCACGTACACTGACTCATTGTCGCCAGCTGTCCGCCAGGTCCTCCTTGGTCCCACTGTATGGATGTGGAAAACAGGCTCAAAGCTGGGAAGTGGCACCGCCCAGGAGAAGGGAACTGTCCTCGCCACACGCAGTCTGTCATCAGGGTGACGCCCACCGGCACCCCACCTCACCCGGAACTGAGCACGTCTGGGCGTTCCTATGTCATCCTCACAGCGCAGGTGTGCTGGAGCCCTGCTCCTCAGCCACGATCCACGGAGGTGACTCGTGGTGACAAGGACGACAACAGACGAGCCTCTGTGAAATACCCCCACCCCCGTCACTCTGCCCGCCCCTCCTCTCACTGAGCTTTTCAGTTTTCGATCCCATCCCACAGATGAGGAAACTGAGGCTGGCTGAGCACTGACTACACTCTGACTCCAGACCTCCCGGTCTTTCTGCTGCTGTGCAGAGCCCAGCAGAACACGAACAGTTCAAGAACTAAGGACTCGAACACGGTGAGAGCAGAGCGTTACGTAACTAAGTGTGGGGCCGCGTGCAATTCCCCAGGCCCAGCGCTCAAGGCCCACCTGTTGGCGGAACCCCCTTCCCGAAGACCACTGCCTTCCGGAAAGCTCCACAAGAGCCCCCGGGCTCCCGGAGTGAACTCCAGTGCGGGAGGGCTGGGAGGCAGGGACACTCGGGGAAGGAGAACCACACACGCACGACGCTGCAGAGAACCTCCTTCGGCTCCGTGGTAAAGCACAGGCTCTGCCCAGAGCCAGACCCGCCCTGCACTCGGAGCCGGGGGGCCACTGGTTCTGTGCTGTTGAATGGCCGAGGCAAGCACCAGTTAGCGCCCACTCTGTGCCAGGCACTGAGGGGAGGGCCTCACACGCAGAATCTCAATTCTTTCAACAGCCCTTGAAGTGGCCATGTGGCGAGGGAGCTGGGTGCCAGCCCAAGCTGGCTGATGACCCAGGGGAAGTGGGTGTGTTCACTGGGAAATGGACACGGCAATGACCACCCTGCAGGGCTGTTCCAGTGAATGGATATCTAACGCCCAGAAGCACTTCAGCTCACGGTGCCTGGCATGGGGGGTGGGCTTGAAAACTATGCTTAATGTTAATAACAGACACTACCCTTTATCACTCTACCCTTGTCATACACCACAGCACATGCTGTCGTTAGTGTTTTACACCAGGGGAAACCGAGGCCCAGAAAGGGGGTGGCAGAGAGAGAGGACTGCTGCCTCCTAACCCACCACTGGGCCTGTGCTCTGACTTCTCTGAAGGGTCAGCCCCGCGTCGACCCAGATGACCATCCCGCAGACCTGTGCCAGCCACCTCCAGGCAGACGCCACATCGCTGGGCGCTGCGGCCCAGGTGTGTGGCCCCTGTGGGCTGTCTCTGGAGACCTGAGGTGCTCCCCCACAGCCCTGCACGCGTGGCACACACCCGGGCCTGGTGCTGTCACACTGTGTCTGCCGCTCCCCTGCCTGCTCCTCCGGAGATGGCCAACTCCCCTGCAGGGGACACTCTCGGGGTCCACTGAGGGGAGGTGGGAACCGACGGCGCCCTCTAGGTGTGGGGGTGAGGACTGACACTCACATTCAGACCCTGGCTCAGCAGCGTGGTCTGGGCAGGAGCTTCACGTCCCCAGGCCTCCAGAAGAGTCAAGGGCACCACCCGCCCCTCCTTCGAAGGTTGCCCTGCATCGAGCCCAGAGCAGCGGGAGCTCTGCAGACGGAGCTGTGATCTCCATCACACCTCACAGGCCAAGTCTATGAAACCTGCCTGCAAAAATGGACCAGACAGGTTCTCCCAAACCCTGAAACCTCCCCCTGGTTCTGACCTTTTGCTGGACACTGGCTTTGTCTGAAAACCGGGTCTGTGGTTTCCAGGACAAGCTCCTCTCCCTGAGCAGGCTCACAGCCACCCCTGCTGGCTGGCCCTGGGAACTGCCCCAGACCGTGTGCACAACAAAGCAAGGCGAGCCTCCCCAGAAGGAAGCCTCAGGTATCCAGGGTTGGTGAAAACTCCCAGTGAACCAGGGCAGGGAGAAGAGACACTGTGTAAGCACGCTCCGCGGACACTAATTCCTTGCCTTCTCAAAGTAAATGCAAAGCGCGGGATCAAACAAAGTGCTTTCCCTTTCCGCCGTGGTCTTTTGTTCCCTGGAGAAGCGGGAACCAAGACAGGACACCACGCCCTGATCTGCACGTGCGTCCGCCGCACTCCCATCTCCGCCCAGCAGTTCCCGAATCGGCTCTGAAGGCGCAGACGCGTGTCAGAGCGAGCAGGCGCCACAGGCTAAGACCTGAACCTGCCGTGACGACGACCTTGCCCGTTCATCCCTCCTGACTGGTCTCCGGGCGACAGAAAGGCATCCCCCCAGACGGTCCTCACGTCCCCACGCAGGGGACCCTGGCTCACAGCTAAGACCCTGCCAGACAGAGCCCCACAGGGCCAGCGTCTCTGCCTCAACCCCCACTAACCACGCCCGTCAAGGAATCGCACACTCGCGTGGGCTTCAGAATGCACGGGGGGCGTGGGGGGGTTCCGAAGCAAACCCTTTACATGACGCCCCTTCTTTAAACCACAGAGTGAGAGCGCAGAGGCCCCTCCAGTCCCTGAAACACGGAACTTATCTTCTGTCCCTGCTGTCAGCCTGGCAAGACGCTAACTGGCAACTTTCGTCACAGACTTTGCTCTTCACGCCAGAACCAGACACACAGGGGCCTAGAATGCGGAATCCTTCGTGGTCACCCACACGGGTTTCCAGAACTCTCTCAGATCCCAGCCAAGCCCGACCGAGCTGCTTGGCTGGGGCTGACGTCATCTACCTTTCTGTTCTAGAGGCTACACAGCCTCTCGGTGCCACTCGGGGCGCACCTGGGAGGTGCCTCGGCTTCGAACACTCCCCTTAGGCCCCTCACGCGGGCACTGCATCCAGGGTGCGGTGTTGGGTGCCTCCTGGCTGCTTAGAAAAACCGGAAAGCGTGATGCGCCGGCACAGGCGGCCCCCTGGTCCGCAGACAGACTGTCCTGCACAGTGTCTGAGTCCAGACGGCGAGTGAGTGGCCAACACACTCCCCCTAGGAGTTCGCCTGCCAGTTTCTCTCTTAGTTGCGGGAAGAACCAGTCCAATCAAACCCACACTTCTGCACGGCGTCACTGCGCCAGCCCCCACCCAGCCTGCTCCTGCAGGCCCCCTTCCCTGCCTGGCCCCGGAGGCCTCCGAGCTCTGACCCTGTGCTAGCGGCTGCTGGAATGCAGTCCACGTAGGCTCCTCACCCTCACCCCGAAAGGGGCTCTCCAGACCGCCACGCAGACCAGGGGCTCCCACCCTCGCTGGACATCTAAAATCGCAGTTTGGGCCGCACCCTTAACCAGGGTTATCCAACTCTGGGGGCGGGGCCTGAGCAAAGGCATGTTTTTAAGTCACCTGGTGACTCAAACATGCTGCTGAGGTGAAGAACCACTGGTTAAAGCCAAAGCAGTGATCTGAGCAATGGCAACTTCAGAAGGTCAAGGGCAGAGTTGATGGGGATGGAGACCACGACCCTTTCCCGTGCCACCTCTGGAGAGCAGTGGCTGAGATGCAGGGAGAGAGATTGCAGGCAGCCACAGAAGACCTGGGAAAGACCACGGCGCTGGCCTTCAGCAGAGCCACCTTGGCCCCAACGGCGGGCTCCCCATGCATGCACTGAACCCTGGACGGAACCGGCGCACCTCACCTGAAGAGCTCACGGATCTCCCGGAGGTCAGCCTGGAAGGGGATGTTCCGCACCAGAATCTTGGAGGTGGTCTGCTTTCTGGGGACTTGCTTCTTCCGAGCGGATGTCAGGGCTGGCCTGCAGGGTGGGGAAAGGGGTCGGGTCATTTGGGCGTCAGCGGCCGCTGCCCCTTCCCAGAACTGGTGCTCATCTGCTGCTCAGGTCTGGGAGCGAGGGGGCATGAGCGGGGCAGTGCCCCCGGGGGAGGCGGACCGTGGCCTCTCTGGTCAACACACCCCACTCCCAGTGTCCCCCGCCCTTCACCCGAGGGACACGGGGGCTGTCAGGTACCCAGAGGAGGGTGAGGCCTATTTCTCTCCACACGCGGTCTCCTCTGTGGTTTTCCAGATGCAGAAAGACCCTGGCTTGTTCGAGAGCGTGCATCTTCCCTCGCCCGAGAGGACCGCTCAAGTTTCTCGCCATGGAGATGGGCCAGGTATGAGAGGAGAAACCCTCAGCCTGAGGTCCGAGACCGCCCCCAGTGCAGCCCTACCTCCCCTCCCCCAGGGAACCCTCCGGCTCCGTGGAGGCACGGCGGGGTCAGGGCCCGGCTGCCAGCTAACGGCCTGGGTGCCAGCACCAACTCGGCCCCTAGGATCTGTGCGGTCAGGGCACCTCACTTGGCTTCTAGTCTCAGTCTGCTCAGCTACAGATGGGGCCCGACGCCAGCACCAGGCTCATCGCGTCGTCTGAGGGTCTCTGACAAGGGGACGTGTCGGGAACTGCAATGCCCGCCGGGTGGCACGCGCTCCACAAAGACGGCGGTTCTCACGGGGCCACTAGCAGGACACGTGTCCTGCGAGTCTGCGCCACACCGCGTCCTCGGGGCCTGTCTCCACTGCACCAGTGACCCGGTGACACTGCTCTGCCTGGTGGCACGGATGACCACCTCACAACCCATGACACCAAACGACAATGCCAGTCTCCACCTCTCCCTAGGGCTGTGCTGCACAGCAGTGCTCGCCAGCCGCACGTGGGCAACGAAACCCAAGTGCAAATGAAACAGTTCGGTTCCTCACGTGCCAGGACAGCTGGCCTCCAGGAAGGTCCCCGTGGTCCCCGGCCCTTCGCGTTGGGGCCTGTGTGTGGTGTGAGGGGCGCGCTGCATCAGGACAGGACTGTGTGGCCTGCAGAAGGCAGCCTGGTAACAGTGTGTGACTTCTGAGACTAGACTCAAAGGACGATGCCGTCTCCTCCCGCTCCCTCCTGGACGGCCGGCTCGCTCGTGTGATCTGGGGGAACGGGCTGTCGAGCTCTAAGGACACGTGCAGCCACGCGAGGGCGCCGCCCGGGAAGTGGGCCGCCAACCACACCTGGGCCCTCGGACGAGACTGCGGTCCAGGCCCGCGTCCTGAGTGCAGCCGGGGAGTGACTCCGGGACGGAACTGCCGGCCGTGCCGCTCCTGAACCCTGGCCCACAGTGACCCTGAGACAGGAAACGCCTGCTGCTTCGGGCCGTGGCGTCCGAGGCACTTTGTAAGACAGCAGCAGTCGGTACAGTCCCACCCGCCACATGCCGAGGGCTCACGCACCAGGTGCAGCAGCAGGTGGCGTCCCCACTGGACGGCACAGCTGTGGAACAGCACGGGACATGTCCATCACTGTGGAGGGTCTCACGGAACACGACCCCCTGGAGGTCAGCTCCGCAGGGACGCCCAGTGCCCAGCATCTGGGGAGGGCGCCTGGCGCACAGCTGGCTTTCTGGGGTTTGCTCATAAAAGAACGATGTACGAGCACCAGCTAGGAATGCAGGGCGCGCGGGGCCTTCCGCCCGGCTCCCGGGGAACGGGGGACAGAGAAGGAAGATCGCCACCACCGGCCGAGTGCTCAGGGCCTGGGCACGTGCCAGGGGCTTGACACCAACCTCTGGCTGTCACATGTTAATGTCCAGGCACGGTCACCCACCCAAGGTCACACAGCTCCTGCACCAGAACCCAAAGGTGCGGGGTACCCCACAGCTCAGCACCCCCCTGGTTTCCAGGGCACCTGCGCGGACCACGCCAGAGGGGCCGAGGCCGGGTGCCCAAGCAGCGCCGAAAGCAGAGAGGAGGAGAAAACAGGTCAGCTCACCGGCAGCTAATGTGCTCGAGGAGCACCCAGTGACCAGGTGGCGGAAAAGCACCGAATAAATATCTTACGCCGGCCGTAGGACGGTTAGAGGTGGTCGTTTCATCACCCGAGGCGGGTGGATGATAATGACAATGGTGATAACAGCTCACACTGGGTCTGCGTTCTGTGCCGGGCACCATTCGAAGCACCTCACGTACATTAGCTCGTTGAGATGCACACGCAGGCGGAGATGCAGGGGCGAAACTAACACTAAAAACGCTCACTACTCCAGGGCGTTGGGTGCTGGGCAGACCGGTCTGTCGCCCGCCTCCATCTTTCACACCTACTGAACCTCTTTCCAAGCAGCTGGAGGCGGCTCCGGGCACCGCTGCCCTGCGCCACGAAGGGAGCCCCATAAAGCCAGACACCTGGGTTCTCTAGCTTCTCCTGGCGCGGCCATGGTGCCGGCGCACTGCGCGTCTTCCTTGGTTTATGCACACGGCGCAGACCAGTGGGACTTGTCTCTCCTGCCTGCGCCCCTTTAAACATCCGTGTGTCACATGTTTACCAAAGCATTGGCCCGGTCCCAGTTCGTCAGGGAAACAGTGTCGGCTGGCAAGTGCCACACCATCCTACTTAGGAAGAGGGATCGGGCGAGAGGGCGGCAGCACCAGAGTGGAAAGGACCGGCTCAGACCCAGGCAGAGCAAGGGCACTGAAGACTCACTGAGTGGCTCGTTCCGAGATCCTCACCTCCACCTTGTGGTCGTCCACGACGTGGCCCTAGAAGACAAGACAACGGAGCCTGTCCCTCTGCTCTCGAAATCCCCGCCCTTCCCCAGCGCTGGCGTCAGCTGAGTGAGGGGACAGGCAGCTTCGGAGGGGGGACTGACTGTCCCCAGGAGGGGTTAGCTGGAGTCCAGGACGGAGTGGCTCTTCCTGGAAATGGCTCATGCGGAGCCCGGGCAGCAGCTGGTGGTCATGGAGAACTGGTCCTCCAGTGTCCTCTCCAGCCACAAGTGGGCCTTGACCTTTATGCCACTTGAGGGGCAGAGAATTTTCCACTGTTTATCAGTGTTCTCAGGCCAGGCACACCCCTTCGGTCCGGCCTGCAGATAATCCGTGTAGTTGAATGCTCTCGAAAATAAATTCTCAATCACAGTGGAGCTGCACCCAAGCCAGGCTCTAACGTCAGTCCCTTCAGGCAGAACTGGCATATTAGCAAAGTTACCCTCAAAAATCCCTGAAATCACCTATGAAACACAACACGCACTGTTTGCACACACAGTTCTTCGTGGTGATGTGCGCGTGTGCACACACACAGCGAGGAACCCGAACCAGTGCTGTGCAGAACAGAGCCCCGTGGACCCCGACTGACGTGGGGAAAGATGGGCTGCGGAGCGCGTGGAGCCAAAAGCCAGGTGAGTGAGTGCTTCTCGTGGCCAGGTGGGACCTCCAGCGCCTCTCAAAAAACCGCAGCGCATGACAACACCAGAGAGGACCCGGCGTCGGTGGGGCCCGCCTGCCCGCGAGGCGCTCGCTGGCTGAGACCGAGCCACGGCTGCCACTTCAGACGGCAGGTGTGCCAGGCTTCATCTGGGCAGGCCTGCCCCTCACTACACTGCCTGCCCGGCCCTGGGGGCCCTGAGCCTGGGAGCCTGGGTGCAGACAGCGGGCCTCTCAAACTAAAGCCAGAGCAGAGGCCACCATGTCCCCACAGTCCTACCAGAACCCGGGCTGGCAGCCCTTGGTGGAGCCGCCTTGAGTCAAGGGGAAGGTCGAAATTCTGCTAAAACAATTGTATCGGCCAAGAGCCCTGTTAGTTTCGATGATACCCAAGGTCTTTCCTTTGACCAGGAGCTCTCCTGGGGCACAGCCAGTCACCTGGAGGTTCCTACAAATAAGCAAAGCTCCCCAGGGTGGCGGCCCTGCCTGGGCGCCCTTCCCAGCCACACCGGGCGCGGTGCAACCCTCAGGAAGGAGTGAGGGCTGGGGGTGGTGCGTAACCCAACCTGTCTGGCTTGTAAGCTTGGCCCCTCTCACACCGTTTGACCCCCACACCGCCTGAGCGCCTGGCCTCCTGCTGGCAGGCCCGTGTCCCCTGCTCACGCACACAGACATGTGGCATTCTGAATGTGACATAAAAGGGCCCCTGGACCTGCCAAAGCCCTCCAGTGGACTCAGGTTCAGAAGCCTGTTCTAGAGACACCAGCATGGGCACCCAGACTGATCTGTGTCACTTCCCCTGCAGAGCCAGGACAGGCCAGCAACAGGGAGCAAGGGGTCTACAGAAAGAAGAGGTGCCTGAGAAGGCACGGATCCTTGTCTGCGCCACGGGTGGGCCTGGGGGTGTGGGGCCTCAGGGGACGGGTGCTGAGGACAGTTTCAAGCTGAGGCCCGGCTCCCTGTGGGGTGCGAACCCCAGGTCACTCTGCTCCCTGCAGCCCCAGCTCCCCCACTGCCATGGAGGACCCCGATGTGCTCCACACTCTGGGCCGAGCAAGAGGGCACTGCTTCTTTCTCCATCTGCACAGGACCATGTGTGCACGTCTAAACCCCCCTGAGCCCAGCCCCTCCTCCCACTGGCATGGCCTCCACCCTGGCCCAGGCCGCCATGCCTGAGTGACTCAGTGGTTTCCCTCCTGCCTCCTGCGAGCAGCTCACCACACAGTAGCTGCAGCATGAGGCAGAAATCAGGTCTGTCCCCAGTGTGCTACAAGCCTTTGAGGATACCTCGCTGCCTTTATGCCAAATCCCAGAGTCTTTAAAAGGCCTGCAAGATCTGGCCCCCACACCTGCCTCCCACATTGTCCCTGCCTGCACTGGCCTCCTGCTCCTCAAACATAGCATCTTACTCCTGCATTGGTGCCCCTGCCTCAGGCCCTTTGCATGTGCTGTCCCCACTTCCTGGATGGCTCTCCCTACAGACCTGTGTTGCTGACTCCATCTGGTTGAGCAGATGTCAGCTGAACTGTTAGCTCCCAGAGAAGTCACACAACCTAAAGCAGTCTGCCCCCATCACGGTGCCTGGCTCGTTTCCATCCGAGCACCTCTCACGGGCCTGTGCATTTACGTGCAGGCCCTCCCTGCCAGGGTGCCCAGGCCAAGCACCATGCCCGGCACACGCCAGGCCCTCTATGAAGAGGTGCGGCTTAAACAGATGCATCACAGTGACTATGGGGTGCTGAGGAAGCCCCTTGATTTTCCTTGGGCCGCAGTCCCCTGGGACTGGAGAAAGCGTGGCCTCGGTGGTATTTCCACTCCGTATCAGAGGGCTGACGGGACCCCCGCCCCATCACCCCGCTCAGTGACTGCAGGGATCCCACCTGAGAAGCGCCTTTACCTGGAGCTGCTTGAGTGCTTTCTGGGCCTGCTCGGGCTTCCTGTATTCCACGAAGCCAAACCCCATGGACAGCAGCGCCCCTGGAGGAGAAGGTTGGGGGGGAAACGAAGACTGAGCGCAGGCCAAGTGCAAGGGCTCCACTGTGCCCCTGGCCCTCAGCTTCACGTCCTCATTCCTTCGGACTGCTCTGCACTCCCCCAGATTATTTCAGCTCCCGGCCTGCCATTTATTACCAGTCATCTCTAAGAATCGGCCAATGAGGTTATATAGCCACCACCTGGGGCCGGATGACTATTAATTAACAGATGATTGACATGATAATTAACTTCATAATAGAATTCCGCCTCCGGAAGGGAGCAGGAACTAACAGGGATGACCATGGCCATGACAAGTGGCAAAGCTCCACCCAGGCGGTGGCCCACGGCCTCCCACACGTAATGCATACGGTGAGTTTGTGCATGAGAGGCACGTGCAGGGAGGCTTACCCCCTACACCCGCCCACACCCGGCACAAAGCTGGGAGGGGGAGGGGACAGCACTGTTCACACCAGTCTGGTTCCCTAGTTCTATCTAGTGGGGAGCAAGCATTCAGAGAGCAGGGGTAGCTCAAGAACGTACCAGGAACTTTGGTTTCCTGACTTCAGATGTGTATCGTTAGGGGCAGGGAAGCGTTTACAGGACTCACACACAAGACAGACCTCTGATGGCCTCTTGCCCTTTTGACACAAAGGGGAGCGCCCGCCTCCCCCAGCACCTCACACCCATTTACTAACTACTCTCTCCTTTCCCAAAGCTGAACTCGAGGACTGCTCAAGTCTGAGGGGTCCAGGCGAGGCGAGGATCTGCTCCCTGGACCTCACTCGGGGTCTCCATCTCTGTCTCCTGCCTTGTCTGTGAGCACTGCAACCCCCACGGGGGCCTGCCTATGTGCACGTCCAGGCACGAGAACCGGCAGGGAGAAGCCCTAGGAGCTGCCCAAATGGGGCTCTGGGCCACGGAGCTGAAGCTCAGAGCTGTTGGCTGACAAGTAGCACCACCCTGTGGCGACTTTAAATATTTGTTCTCCAGTGGAAGTTTGAAAAAATGCTCCTTGGGAGATCCAAGTCTGGTGTGGGTGGTGGAGTCTATGCAAGCGTGACATTTGAGAAACGCATTAGGAAGCACGCTAGTCAAGTTCATCGCCGCACCACTGCCACTGGGCACTCTCTGTCCTTCTCCTGCCCTGGAAGGCTGACCCCCCCACCCCTGAAAGCTCTCCCTGGGATCCCTGGCCTGGACTCCCGACGGGCTGAGCCAGGATCTGAGACAGGTGGCTGGAGGGGAAAAACTGGCACCCTGGCTCCTTCCACAGGCCCTGCCGGTGTCCAACTCACACCCCAACTCACACCCTTAGCTCCCGCTGGTGGCCCTTCTTCTGTGGCTCTGGTCACACCATCACCCTCCCCGCTGCCCTCCGGGCTTACAGAGAAAGGGCGTCCTCTCCCATGACCCTCTGCCTGACGCCCCCATGGGTCCCCTCGGTGCAGCCCCCTGCCCCTTCGGCAGGGCAGGCTGGGTGAGCTCTGGGTCTGGCCGTGGCACAGACCAAGGCCTGCCTACAGCTGCCCGGGGCCTTGTGGGCCCGTTTTGCCTGGCTGCACTCTCACAGAGGATACCTGCTTTGTTCTTCTTCCTGGAGATGGAGCAGCTCTTCACCGCACCCACTTTGGAGAACACCTGGAAGAGAACGTCAACTCGGGTTGTCAGTGGTTCCTGCTGACCCTGTGGCCACTACAGGCGTGACTTTGAAGACAGGGCTGCGTCCACCACTGCAGACTCCGACAAGCTGCACGGGACACTACCGCTGACTGCAACCTTCACAGGACGCAAACTCCCGAGACATCCCTCCGTGTCCCTCCATGTGAGTGGATGCACGCCCCGCCCCCAGGCTCTTCTGGCAGCTGCACGAGTGCCTGGGTGTCTGTCCCCTCCACCCACTGGTCTCAGATCCCAGTTGTCTGCCTGGCAGCGGTCAGCAGGTGAGGCTGGTGTTAAACTACACGTGAGCACGAGGTACGTGCACAGGTGGACAAGTGCCGTGACTGCAGGAGCTGCCCATTTCCCACCCCTGCCCCCGCTGCTTGGAGCGGGCACTCACCCCCCTCAGGGTCTCCTCGGTGGTGTCGAAGTTGAGATTTTTAATAAACAGAGTGCACCCAGGAAGGCTCTCTTCCTCCTCCTCTTCCTCCTCCTCCTCCATCTTTGGTGAAGAGTCATCTGCTCCTCCTTCTGTTGCCTTTGCGGCTTCCACAGTCTCGCTGTCGGGCACTGGGTTCCCCACACACACAAAAAACCCCAAATCCATTAAATGATGTCTATTCTGCCTAAGTCACAGACCTGCTAGATCAAGGGCTTTCTGCCGTGTGGAACACGTCAGGAAGGAACACTAACTCCTCCCGTGGGCTGGGTTTGAGCAACTCCAGAAAGGGAGAGACAGGGAGAGAGGAGGGAGGAGAGAGACAGAGAGACTGTTCTGCCTCCTTCCTTCCTGCTTCCGAGAGAAGGGAGTCTGGAACGCAGGCAGAAGGCGATGACCTTGGACTGGACTAACTCACACTAACTTAAACTTCCAAATAAACTGCTGTGTGAATGAGTTTATGGAGCCCCAAACCCCAGCAACAGTTTACTGTTTCTCAAAAAAAAAAAAAAAACCCTCAAAAAACCAAAAAAAGCCTTAGTGAACTTTCAAATTAAAACGCAACTTTAGGACATTTCAGAAATTACGGAATGGGAGCAAAATGCAGAACGCCCTCAACCACCTTTGAGACGGAGGACGCTACGTCCGATTACGGTTTCCGACGTACGCAGCTTCGGAGTGTTTTCACCCGCCCGTGACAGCGCGGACTCCGGCACGCAGACCAGTGCACACTCAGGGAAACACACCCACTGCTCGTGACCAGGAGAGCAGGAAAGTCACAGCAGTGCCACCATGGGCTGCAATGACAGTCACTAAACATGATGCTTCCGAAGTGTTTTCAACAACACGGCCAAGTTCACGGGCAGTCTGCACAGTTTGCTGGACAGAGACCAGTGCTTCTAACAACTAACTAGGAGCAACTGTAAGAGACAACGTGCAACGTAACCGCCTTCCCGTTCTGTCCACGGGGGAAGCGAAAAGAGTTCAAGACCGGCCCGAGCTGCTCCCGGACTTCCTCAGCTGGCCTGCAGGGAAGCGTGACAATACATCTTTAAGAAGGAAAAATAACCAGCGTGTCCACTGGTTCTGTATTTGACGACGCTCACTCGTGTTTTAAGTTGTTCAAACACACGTTCCAACTCTTCCCTGAGAAACTCGCTTCCACGTGTTTATGCTGCAGGAGCAGTAAGCACTGGGAACTGGTCACCAGCACGGCAGACACTGCAACGTCCCACCCACTCGCTACCTCTGCACGCTGTGTTTATTTCATCCACACACAATATTCTGGGGCTTGGCAATTTCCATCCTATGATATATACTTGGGATTGGCAATATAAGTGAAATTAGGTAAAAATTAGCAAGTATGTTTTGTTCTTGTAATAAACGACTCCTTCTGTCTGAAACATACATGCACTCACGCATGCACACGTGGAGAGACTGGGCATACCGCGCTCCTGGTGGTTTCTACAGAGGGCAGCTACAGAGGGTCGTGGTCCATCCTGTCTCCTGTCCCCCCCACCCCCACAGCCACTCCCGACCCTGAAGGAGCACATTTCAGAAACAGGGCAAAGCCGACGTGGAGCCAGCTGGGCGTCAGTAGGGCCACTGTGCAGTTGCCACTTGGAACCCTCAGCCCTGGTGCTCAGGGCGTGAACCCAAGGGACTGGAGCCTCAGCAGGACCCTCCCCCCAGGGGCCCTGCTGCCTGGAAACTGGTCAGTTTCAATCAACCTCCCCAGTCTTCCCCAAGTCACACGATTGGGGCCAGGGACAGATCCCCCCTCCACACCCAAGCTTCTGAAGCTCCTCCCATGTCCTCCAGGAAATCAACCCCTTCTTAGAGCCAAAGGCGGTCAGCAGGCTGCGCCCGCACACCCTCTCCCAGCTGGGCCTGGGTGGGCAGACCTGCGGGCCCTGCCAGGCCACTCTGCGTGCCGGCCCACGGCTGATGGGGACAGAGAGCCCTGGTTTCTCTCTCAGGGCTTCACGCAAATGGCTCAACCTTCTGGGGGACGCAAAGGTGCTGCGTGGGGTCCAAACCTGTCCCCACACTCGTGCCCAGCACCGAAGCCTCTCCTGCCCCCGCCCTTTCCGTGCTTCCAGCGCAGTGCCCACGGCTTTGTCATAAAAGAGCCCTTTCGGCCTCGGGGGAACCGGCCACAGTGACCATGTTTTCTGTGGAACATCAGCGGCAGAGGCAGCCGCCACCCCTCGTGCTCCCCCCTCAGAGGTGCAGCCCAAATCCAGACCCCCCAGGACAAGCAGTGGGGACCCACGTGGTCCCCTTTCCCACACAATCTACCCAACAAGGGACTCCATGGTGTGGCTGTCTGCACTCGAAACCCAACTTCCAAAGCACAGCAGGACACAAACAGTCACTAAGGACGGGGAAGCAAAGCTGTGCAAAGCGGCTCCGACCTGAGGTTCCGAATGTGAACTTCAATGGAAACGACACATGACCTTGAGCCACAGTGACACTTCCACCCCTGGCTGCCTGGCTGTCTTAAAGATGAAAGGAGAAGGGAGGGGATGATCAGACCCCACTGTGCCAGGCACGTGGCTCGACCCCTTGGGTTTGCTATCTTGTTGACGACCACAGTGGCCATGTCACCAGTGGGAGGCCCAGGGACACTTCTGGAGCCCACTATATCTGAGCCCTAAGTCTCAGGAGCCTTCAGGTTGGGACACGGGTTCATCGAAGACTAAAAGAAATTTCTTTTAAAGAGCAAAGAGCGACGGGGATGACGGTGACCAAGGGGGCGGGTGCATGGTGGTTCAAGGGGGTGGCCCCCTCTTGACACCAGCCAGCTGCTATCACATGGGAAGGTCAACCCAGGGTGGTCAGATGTTCAGATAGTTCAAAAGCGGAAAATCCAGCTTTTTACAGGAAAATCCATGGTTGAAAAACACTGACGACTAACTCAAGGGCACGTATGTGGCTCCAAACCAGGCAGTGGTCCCCTCATGGTAACCAGCAGTCAAGGAGGTCTCTGTGCTCTGCTCCCCACTTCCGGCCGCGGCATGAACTCAGGGCAAACTGGTGACCCTCCCCTCGGCCTCTGCCAGGGGCCTGGCCTCCAGCTGGGTCCCGGCGCGGCATTCTCGGTGTGTGCAGCCTCACGGGGCCGCAGCCCAGCAGCTCCGAATGCAGCCCGGCCTCCCTGCCCCAGGACCGGCGGCTGGTCTGCTGCTAAGCACTTGTTTTGAAGGCCACAGACAGGCACCTGCCCACCCAGGAAGGGGGGATGTCTGGGGTCAGGGACAGAGCTGAGCTGAGAGTCAGCGCTGCTACCCCAGAAACAGATGAAGCCCCCCCACTTCCCTAGAGGAAGAGCTGCCCTCAGCCCCAGCCCAGAAAGGAGAGGTGACTGGGAGGGCCACCGACACCTGTTCCCTACCTGGCTCACCTGCTTCCTCGCACTTCTAATGAATCAGCCAACCCCCGTGACCCCAACACGTGGGAGGAGCATCTGACTGAGACCGAGGCGATGAGCACGGCCTGGCCCCCAGCCCGGCACAGGGACTTCCGCTCTCTCCCAGCACCTGCCTCCCTGTACCTGCCATGCCCCAGGGCTGGAGAACTGACAGGAGGAAGGCACCACAGTCCTGAGATCTGCTGAGAAAAGGGGGGCTGGAAAACACAAGGAGGGGGACCCCCAGACTGCACACAGCCTTGGAAATGAACGTGATCTGGCAGAGCCACTACCACCTGTGTGTCCCCAAGCGAATGGCTTAACCACTCTGCCTCCAACCTGGAAAGCAGAGGTGCACACACAACACACCCCTGCCCTCCTCCGGGTTGTTTAGAAATGCAAGTGACTGCCACTCCATCCACGTGCCAGGTCCCTGGTCTAACGCGTTGCTGCCTCCAATCTGTATGACCCAACGGCCTCCTCACTTGTCCGTGGCCTGCCAGCTCTTCCCACCTTGTCCCCCCATCCAGTCCAGCAGCACAGTCTTCTATTCTGCCGCCACAGCTCACCCTGCCACAGGGCCTTTGCACCTGCTGCCCCAGCCACCTCGCTGACCCATTTCCTTATCTCCTATCTTCCGAGGCCTGGCTTCTCGTCAGGTCTCAGCTCAGACGTCCTTCCCTCAGAGCTCTCCCCATCCACTCTAGTGCCAGGGGTCCCCAGGCCTGGCCACTTGCCATCACATTCCCCTGGGGTCTGCTTTTCAGAGCCCTTACCCTGACCCAGAACCACCTTGTCTGTGTCCCCCACTTAGAAAGGGAGCTCGCTAAGGCCGGGGCCAGGTCTGCCTCGGCCGGCACTGCATCCCCTCCACGTGGCTCCAAAAACACGTGGACTGAGGACTGTGCCCAGCACGTGTGCCTGAAACACGGCTGGAGCTCTGCAGATGGCACATGGGTGACCGGGAGTCACAGCTCAGGGCACAGACCTGGGAGGGTGGCTTTGAGTCCTGCTTCCTGGCTCTCTCAGATGAGTGACCTCGTATAAATCACTCATCCTCTCTGTGCCCTAAAAAAAAGAGGTGACAACAACAGTATCCACTTGTAGGACAATTACGAGACTCAACGGTGCCTGGGTCGCCCCAACTGCCCATGCTGCCCGGCCAGGCCTTGAGAAATCTGGGGGAAAACATCAGAGGCCCGGGCCCTGTGGGTAGGAAGTCAGCCGAAGAGTCCGCGGAGAGCGCCCTCGGCCCTTTTCCCCTCCCTGCAGGGTGGCCTGCCTGCTGCCAGGCAGGCATCTAAAAACGGCCAGCATCGCGCCAGAGGCCGGGGACCAAGCTCCTACCAGCCACGTCCCCGGGGATGGCTTCAGCTCCCTGAGTGCCTGTGCCTGGAGACGCGTGGAGGTGACCAAGGAGCAAAGGTCGTTATAAAAGCCCTTCTGCTCCTGGTCCCGAGAGGAGAGACTGCAGAGAGACTAGAAAGGACAAACGAGCTATTGTAACACCCAAACAGATGTTTGCCAACGAAATCGCCAGGAACCAGCAGAAAGGGGAGAAGAGAGGAAGCAGAGCTGGGCCCAGGGGTGGGCTGCAGGGGGCTGGGGGAGGCCAGGGAGAACGCGCTTCCACCCACGGTTAGCACAATAAAACCCAGTCACGCATGGCCGCACGGGGCCGTATTACAATCAGGCAGCAGAATTTAGCGCTCCCCCCTTCCCAGCTCTGGGCCGAAGGCTGGCAGCACAGACTGTTATCGGCTTCGAGCAGCTTTGCAGGACCAGCCCCCACTCAAAGCCCTTTATCTGGAGGTGAGGGTCTCGGTGGTGGTGAGATAAAACACACAGCCCCTCCCTCAGGACTGGTATATCTTTGCAGAGGTGGCGGGGTGGGGGGGGGGAGTGAACAAACACTCCGTCCACGCCCCTCCTTTGCAGCCGGCAGAGAAAGCCCAGGGCGAGGGGCAGGTGGGGCCCTGTGCAGTGGTGATGGGGATCTGCGGGAGCTTCGGGAACAATGTGGAGGCCGGGCCTGGGGGAGGAACGGGTGACAGGAAACAGCGCAGGGGACAGAGGGGACTGTGTATGTGATGCGTGTTAGAAAAGGAACAAAAAGGGCAGAAAGAGTCCCCGCAGATGAGTTCTGGGGGAACTCACCTGACTACAACGTGGGACCAGGCAGGGCTGGACACCAGCAAAGACTCGGAAGGAAACCTGGACCCGTGTGCCGCGACTGTGCACACCCACCCCCGCCCCCCCCAGCAGCTCGCAGATGCGGGGCCTGCCGCCGCCAGTCTCTCTGGGATGCTCTTGACACCGCAACCTGGGGACATGAGGCAGGCTGGGCAGCTAACTTCAGAGCAGGGGACACTGTCACTGCAAAGCTTCCAGTCTGTCCCCAGGGCCACCATCTGTTACTACTGTGACATCTCAGCTGTCCCCAAACAGCCCTACCTGTCCCCCTGCCATGTGGGAGCTTGTGGGGAAGAGGAATGCATCACGCCCTCATGGTGACATTGGCTTAGTGGGTGGCAGGAAACAGGTGCTCAAGGCAGAGGTAAGGACCCCCCACTCTGGCCACAGAATTAGCAACAGGGCCAGGGGAGCGGTGGTCGCAGGCAGCCTGGACAGAGGCAGAAACTGGGCCTCAGAGAAGGCGGCAGCCGGCCCGGCCACGGAGCTGGGAGAGGAAGTCGAGGCGGACGGTGACTTCCCAGGAGCTCGGAGACACACGTTCTGAGGAGGCCGAAGTGCACGGCTCAGGGCCCGGCAGGGAGTAAGTGCCGCTTCTGCCCATGGGCTCGCTGGGCACCCACCTACTGCTCTCCTGCTGGGCACCTGTTTTCCAGGGGGACAACGGCGGGCAAACAGATGGGGTACTGGCCTTGGGGACCGGACATTCTAGCAGGGGTGTCAGGCAGACAGACCCTGAGGAAGTATACCACCCAGCACGCATTTCCAGGAAGTGACAAGCGTCTGAAACAGAGTTAAGGATAAGGTGACGGGGCGGACACTGGCTGACACTCACTGTGACAATTACTGGCATTGACAGGGTTACCACCACAGGTCAGGCTCTGGGCCTGGTCTAGCAACAGAGAACCAACCTTCCAACGTCACTAAGCTCCTACTATGTGCTAGAGGCCTGGCCCCCACCGTTCACAGATGTAGGGAGAGGTGCTAAAACCCCCCTCCCTGCATTCATCTACCCCCTTGACACACAGTCAGGCAGCTCCTCTGTGCTTGGGGCCACATCTCGCAGGGGCAAGAGCCACTCTGCCCTCATGGTTCCCTGTCTGGCAGAGATGGCTGTTACGCAAAACGAGAAAATAAAACAAAGTGTGACCGAACTGTTAGAGAGGAACAGAGTGGAGGGAGGGAGGCAGCAGACATGGGCCGGTGAGTGTGGCCCTGAGGCAGCAGCGGCCTGCAGGGGGCGCTGTGTCTCCCCCGAAGCAGGTAGGCATAGGCTTCTGTGGTGGCGGGGGTCCAGGGCCCCCACTCCTGCCAAATCTCTGTGCTGTAAAAGAGTACTGTGCGTTTGGTCAGGTTCAAGTCCAACAAGTGACATGAACGCTGAGGAAGCCGATGGCTTTGGGGTCATGGTTACTTAGAACAAACCAGTGACATAAAAAAGATTTTTTGATTTAGAAGGAGACACTAATCCAGCCTGTGGACAAAACTAACCCATGAACAGGCTGGGGGGGCTCTGCAAGGTCTCCACCAATAACCGGCTGCGCCGATGACCAAGGACACTGCCAGAGCCTCGAGGGGCACAGGCTGAAGCATCTTCCCCGCGATGGGAACTGAAGTTCAGACCAGGCCTCCCTGAGCCCTGGGTGCACCGGCCAGGCCTCAAGGCTTTACCGACGCAGGGTGAGCGGACAGATGAGGCAGCCGGGGGTCTGCGGACAGCGAGACCTCCTCGGTGAGGGGGCTGTTCTGTAAGCTGGGAATTTTCTCACCCCCCCCACTTTTCTTTTTGCTAGTAAACACCTTTTATAAAGTAAAAACAATGGAAATGGTATATAGAAGACTTAGTTTTTAAAAACTCTTACTTTAAAAATCTAGTATCCCTAAGGGGGTAGGGGAAGGGGAACGGATGTTACTGATGGGCAAAACCTTAGCTCCCAGTTACAAGGACCATCACAAACCTCAAAAATTTTTCCTAAAGGTCTCGAATTCCAAGATGCGGTCGTGGTCCCCAGACCAAGTGGTTCTCCCCTGGGGGCTGGCCTGCCCCCTAAGGGGCGTTTGGGAATCCAGGGGGTGGTTCACCTCTAGGGGCACCCCTGACACTTCAGTGGGTCCAGGAAGGTGAAATGTCTCAGTCTGACCAACAGTCTCAATGGGAACAAACGTCCCCAGTGCCCACAGCACCCCCTCCCTTCTCTTTCCTGCCTTTGCACCAGAGGGCCCTGGACACCAGAGGGCGCTGGGCCCCACCGAGGACGCTATAGAATAACCCTCGCCCAGGACGCATCGTGGGGCAGGGGTATGAAACGAAGCTGTTTTCACTTGCCATGTCCTGAATCCCTAGTAATAAATTCTAGTTTCTTCTCTCTTACGACCTCTAGCCCACAAGCTAGAAAGCTGACTGCCTTATGCTGTACCTGTCAATCTTATGCTGTTTTTTTAAGAACATTTCACCTGCCTGTGAAATCCGGGATTCTGGCACCCACTGGTCTCCAGGATCAAGAACTTCAAACCTAATAAACGTTCAGTGTGGTCCCACCCCCCAGTCCCCCCACCTGTCCCCCCGTCCCAGGGGACCCTGACCCCACACCCGGCTCTCACCAGTCTCTGGCTCCGCGGTGCCCTTTTCAGCAGGTTCCAGGGGTGCGTCCTGGGTTCCTTTCTTCTGCGGGGCTGAGCTGGAGAAGACGCCCACCGGAGCCCACTCCAGGTACAGGGGGACGTGGTGGAACTGCAGGGACAGGGGCGGGGAGGACTCAGTGCCTGACACAGACGAAGAGCCCGAGGTTCAGGGAGTACGGGCGGCTCAGCCCGGACTGCAGACGGCAGGGGGAGCACGGCCCAGAACCCGCCGGGCTGCCACTCGGGGCTCAGGGCTCGGGAGAGGCCGAGCACCCGCTGTCATCGGATACATCTGTGTCCCCTGGTGGCTTCTCTGACCACCGCATGAATGAGGAGCGGGGTGGGGGGTGGGGTCGGGGGGCAGAACCAGTGACGGAATGCCGCTCTCCCGCAGGAAGTGCAGAATGGCTGCTAGAGCCCCCCACACTCAGGCCCTGCAGTACAAACGCATGTGCGCGCACCGCTGCTCTAAGGGGGAGACTGACTGAAGCCCACACACCGCCCCCCTGCCTGGAAGCAGAAGCCACCTGCAGTCAGTTGAAAGGTGGCCCCCAAAGACATGTCCACACCCTGAACCTCAGAACCTGTGAATGGGACCTTATTTTGCAGGGGCGGGGAGGTCTATCGCAAATGTCATCTAGGTGAAGGGTCTTAAATGAGAGCATCCCAGGTCACGTGGGTGGGTCCCAAGTCCAGACACAGAAATGGAGAAAAGGCAAAGGCACATGAGACGGGCAGAGACGACAGCGCTGCAGCCATGGGCCGGGGACGCCTGGTGCCACCAGAAGCTGGAGGAGATGAAGAAGGAGCCTCCCCGGAGCCTCCCTCCCGGCGTCTTGACGTCAGACCTCTGGCCTCCGGAAGAGCAAGGGACAGCATTTTTGCTGCTCTGAGCCACGAGTTTGTGGTAGCTTGTTACGGCAGCCACAGAACACTAACACACTGATGTGTGTGTGTGCACGTGTGTGTACGTTTGTTCTCTCTTTACCCAGAACCAGGAGACAGCCCACCTGCAGCCCTGACTTTCTCACTATCTCAGGCACAAGGTACCAAAAGCACCAAGGATGGTGGGTGTGCTCACGAGGGCACAGAAGGCTGCTTTCCAGGCCTGCCCTGAGGCTCCCTCTCCCGCCCTCCCGCCCAGGTGTTCTCAGGGGGGATAAACCCTCGGTTAGGACAGACAGTGCCACTGCGTCGGTCCGGTTCACACCCCCCGGGAAGCAGGCCCGGGGCAGTCCTACCTTGGAATAGGCCAGGTGCCGGAAGGCCTTGCGGGCCTCCAGGGGCTCCAGGAACTCCACGATGGCGGTGATGCCACCCTCGGGCAACAGCACGCGGCCCAGGCTGCCGAACCGGCCAAAGATCTCCTGCAGCTCGGCTGCCAAGGTGCCTGCTGGCAGGTTCTTCGCCAGAATCACGGTCTTACTTCGCTCTGCAGAGGCCTGCAAGGCGGGGAGAGGAACGCACTTGGAACAACAGGAGGGAGGGTCACCAGCCTGACACCAGCACTGACCAGTGGCCAGCTCTAGACCAGGTGCCGCTTCGGGACGTCCATCACCAGGCACTTCAAAAGCGGGCCCAGGAGATGCCACCACGTCAGGCATGGGGCTCCACTGGTCAGAGAGGGCTCCGTGGAGTGGGTAAGGGTGAGGGCTTCAGAATGGACTCCCCAGGTCAAATCCTGGCCCCTCTACCTCAGAGCCCCCCGAGTGGTAAACCCCGTCGGTGCCCCCCGCAGCCCCCGGTGGGCCTTCCAGAGCGCTCTGCCCAGACTGGCACCTGCAACTCAGGGCTCAGGGCCCTTTCCGGCCACGGCAGACCACCTGCTGCCACACGTAGCGGACGACATGTTCCGGGAGCCACCATGGGCTCACAGGACCTGGTGCGCCCTGGGCCGCTGGGGGAGTCCCGCAGGCGGCCCCCCATGGGGCTCAGGCTGCCTCTCACAGGAGCCTGTCCCAAGCTCACCCTGCACTCGTCTCCCGCCTCCTGCTCAGCCTTTCTCACCGGGTCCTCTGCCCAGTCCACTGTCCTTGCATCTGCCCCGGGGTCTGCTTTTGGAAGAACCCAAAAAAAGGCGCCAGCTCTCTGGCCTTGAGGAAGGGGCTGAGCTGCACCTCGGCCGCGCCCGGCCCCGGGGCCCAGCAGCTGTTTCAGAGCTGCCCCACGAGCGGCACCATAGCTGCACTCACACAGGCCGAGCGTGTGCGCTGCAGAAGCCCTTCTTGAGTGCCCGTGACTGCTTTACTGAAAACTAACACTGGCGCGGTAGGAAGGTCAAAAAATGGACAAATTCCCAGTAGACAGATCACCCGGGCGTTGAGTCTCAGCTCGGCCATGGACCTAAGCTGAAACCCTGGGCTAATGCTTTCCCGGTGGGCCACCGTTTTCTCATCTGCAAAATGGGCTGATGGTAACACCCGCCCTGGGGGTCTCACGCGGTGGCCTCGGGGACCAAGTGAGGCCAGTGGGTGGAAGCGCCTGCAGGTGGGAGGGGCTGGGCACTTGTGGGCGTTTTAGGCATTATGATTCGGGGTGCGGACTCTGGGGCCTGCATTCGGACCCAGTCCAGCCTGGCTGGCTGTGCGACCCAGATCACATGGCTTCACGCTGTGACCGTGGTCCCTTCTGGACGGCGGGAGCATGACAGGCGGCCTTCCCGCAGCTGTTGTGAGAGCGACATGAGTGTAGGGGACAGACGTTTAGAGGGTGCGCTGGTGCGTCCGATTACACGTTAGCTACTGCGGCCACCGCTTACCTGTCCGTCCACCCACCCACTGGGGTCCATCAACCCCACTTCCCACCCACCCGTCCATCCCCCCACCCTCTCCCATGTATCCTTTCAAGGTGAAGTCTGAGGTTGGCCGGTCTGAGGGGAGCTGTTTGGGAGCCAGACACCAAGACCAGGACCAGGCTGCTGCCACAGACGCTGTGGGACTGATATGTCACCTGGCCCTCCCTCTGGGCCCGCTTCCTGTCTGTGAGAGGAAGGGGGGTGGACGCTCTCGGCTAGAACAGCCATAAACCCAGGAGGAGCGCGCCCCCAGCAGAGAGCAAGCACGTGGAGGTGCGGACCTCCCCCCCGCTTGGTTCTGGAAAGGTCTAACGCTCCAGACAGACAACTGGTGCTCTTGGTGATGAGCCGGGGGGCAGAAGATGGCTGTTCGCATGCCCCCGCCGCCCCCCATCTGTGTGGTAGAACTGTGGGTTACGAGGGGCCCTCCTGCATGTGGCCCCCAAGTAACACCATCTGGGTCAGACAGGCCCCTTGTCTGCCCACATGACTTCCTTATTCCCTTTGGAGACTAAAGTTAATGACAATCACCTCCCTTGCACATCCCTACCCTGAAAGCTTCCCGGGCACCCGAGGCCCAAGCAGCTGATCTGGGCCATGCGAACCCACCTGGCTGAAGGAATCCAGACTGACCCCGTTGTCGATGAGGAAGCGCCGCACTTCTTGGACCAGCTGGGTCTCCCCCAGGGCCACACGCACGGCCACGCTGCCTTTGGTCTCCTGTGGGACGGCAGACAGGAAGAGGCTCCGCCGGCTGTCGGGCAGGTGACCAGCCAGCCTTCCCACCTCCCGGCAGCCGGGGACGGAGGCTTGGAGGGAGAGGATGCGCCGACGCCCCCGCCGACCGCTGACTTGCCAGCTCTGGCTGCCGCGTCTCACCGTAGGTCGAGGACCCGGGCCCCTTCCAGCCTCTCCTTCCTCTCCCTCCACTCCGGTCACCGGGGCCTCCCTGCTGCTCCTCCCAGACGCCCAAGCTCACCCCCAACCCGGCACGGTGCCCCGTCCCTGCTCTGCGCCCCCTTCCCATTGGCCCGGAACCAGGGACACTAGACAGGCTGCTCACTCACATGGTCGAACACTTGGCTCTTGGTGGCGCTGTACTTCTGCGCAATGGCGTCAGCCACCGCGTTGGGGCCCATGAACAGCGTGTTCCAGTTGTGAGAGCTGAGAGGCAGGGGAGGGACGTCAGACCAGGGCTGAATGCCAGGAACAGCGAGCTCGTCTGCCTGCCGTTCTCAGCCCCACAGCCGCCTCCTCCCCACAACTTGCCTGGGTGGGCCAGTTGTAACCAGGGCCTGAGGCCAAGGGAAGTGACGGTGGCATTAACAATGCCTGACGTTCGTCAAGCACCTATGCTGTGTCAGGGACTAAGTGCTCTCTGCCCAGGTCAACTCGTTTAACCTCAGAACACCACAGAGCTGAGGCATGACCGTGACGCCCCGGTGTGCGGCAAGGACGCCGGGCTGGGCCAGGGTAGACGAGAGGCTGACCCCTCCCACCACAAGGCGCCAGAGAGAGCGGGGCGAGGGCAGCGGGAGCCTGGGCCAGGCCCGGAGGCGGGTCGTGGGCAAGCACCTGGAGCTGTTGGCCTTGTCTTTGGCCTCTTTCTTCTTCTTGTAGGAGGAGGATCCCGGGGCACTGGCATCCTCGCTGGCCTCCTTCTTGATGGTGGACGGTAACACGTGCAGCATCCTGCCCTGCAGCGGGGGGAGCGGGAGGGGTGAAGGGAGGCAGGGGCAGGACGCCGGCCTCTCCAGGAGTAGGCTGCACCCTGCGCTGAAACCCTGGTCGGACACAGGACCCTGACACTGGGGAGGAGGCCGTTCGTCACGGCCTCACAGGAAACCGAGCGGTCTGTGAGTGCCACCTGCAGCACCGCCACCCGTCAGGCCTGGGCCCCGTCCTGTCCCCGCGCGTGAGGCCTGGCCGGGGACCACAGAGAGGTCGGCACACCACCAACGAAGGAGTGAGAAAAGGGAGGGGCGAGGGACTCTCGGCTGGGGGACGAGCACCAGGCACCTCACTGGCAGACGCGAGGCCTTGGGTTCCGTCGGGGCTGTTTAACGGGACTGCGCCCCAATTCCTTCCTTTTACTCCTTTCCAGTGCGTTCTTCCTCCAGACAGAGATGTACTCGTTCATTTGGCAAACACTTCCTGAGTGCCTACTACGTGCCAGGCGCTGTCCGAGGGCAGTGAAACCTGGGCAGACCCTGCCCTCAGGGAGCTCGACCCTCTGTGGGCTTCACACGCCACTGGGTATGTGCTTTCTTAGAAACGGGGTGTGCACACGCGTGCCCGCACGCACACGCCTCTCCCGCCACCTGGGCCCTGCAGCCCCCGCCAGCCCCGAGCAGTCACCTGGAACACCTGCCCGTCCACCTCCGCGTAGGCCTTCACGGCGTGCTCGGGGAACATGAAGGTGACGAAGGCAAAGCCCTTGGGTTTCTTGGTCAGGCCGTCGATGGGGTAATGCAGCTCGGACAGGGGCCCTGCGGACAGGCGGGTGTCAGTGTCCTGCAGGCCGAGACGGGCTGCGTGCTGGGCACTCAGCAGGGCACGGGCTGTGACGGGGAGAGCGCCGCGCTGCTGCTCTGGGTCGGCCCGAGGAAGGACGTGGCCAGCGGCCGCAGTGACGCCGCCTCACGAATCAAGGGTGTTTTCACAACCCTTTACACATCTGTCCTGGGAGCAGAGGTGCCGGGGCTGGATCCTGCCCCAACCACCTTTGTGCAGCCTTGGGAGACCACCAGCCTTCCGGTGCCTCAGTCTTCTCATCTGCAAAGTGGCATTTTAAGAGCCCCCGGCCCATGGGGCAGCCGGGAGGGCTGAACACATGACCGCGTGAAGCGTAGTCAACATAACCTGCCTGCTGTTAGTGCCCTGGGTGTGTTTGCTGAATCCTCTCGCCACACTCAGGTTCAAGTTCACCTTTCTGAATCGGTGTCTGCTCTGGACCCAGGTGTGACATGTGGTCTGTTGGTCCTGTCCCTGTGCAGCTGGCCCTGCTATAAACTTGGCAGTGGCCTCTGGGAAGGGCCCAGGACAGCAATAGCCACAGCCTGGGACGTCACACCACTTGGCCTGAAGGTGCAGTCCTATTCAGGGCCTCTCCGTCCCCACAACAGGCACTCACCGGCGCCCTGATCCTCCACCACCCAGAGCAGCCTCCGAATAAAAGAGGGCGACCCTCTGGGGGATGCTGGAAGCATTGAGACCTCACTGTCACTTTAAACCCCAACTTCCTTCCCTTCAACAGCCACGACCGTACAAATACACCATGTGACCCAGTTAAGCTATGGGTCTTCAGTCCTGTGAAATAATAGCGACAATGCCTAGAGTACAAATGACCCCCACTACCAAAGTGTCTGGGCACTTCTGCCAAGATGGAGGCATAGGTGGATGTGCCGTGCCTTCTCACGCAACCAAGTTTAGAGACAACTAAATATTAGCAACAGAAAATACAGCCAGAACACGGAATTAAACTTTTCGGAAGTCCGTTAACAACAAATTCTTCAGCCTGACAGGTAAGGGGTGAAACCAGCGGCTGGTGAGGGGTTGCACAGGAAAACTCGGTCAGACGGACTCAGGCACGCGGAATCCAGGCGCAGGGTGGGACCTAGTGAGAGACCGAGCAAGTGACCGAGCGAGCGACCGTGGGGAAACAGCGAGGGAGCAGGGCTGCGGGTTGACTGTGGTCGCGCATTTGTGCGCGGGTGGACAGGCGAGGGAGTGGGCGATTGGACCGGGACCCAGCAGGTCCCCACAGCAAGTGGCAGGGAGGGTGCCGCCATTTCCCTGCTCCGACCCCACCTCCACATACAGTGTCATAACCCAGTGACTCTGAGTGGCTCGGCCCAGGTGAACCACCTAAGGCGCTGCTCCTCACCCAACGGCACGACACAGCAGAGGGGGCCGCCATTTCCCCGCTCTGACCACGCCCCCACATACAGCGTCACAACCCAGCGACCTGGGAGTCCAAGGCTCTGCTCCTCACACTTAAAGGGCACGAACACACCAAAAATGGCTCAAGAAGATCTCAAAGCCCCAGAGCCTATTAATCTAAACGATGAAGAAATAGCAAAACTCTCAGACGCAGTTTAAAACACCAGTGATCAGGATCCTCACAGAACTGGTTGATTATAGCTACAAATTAGGCAAATATATGAAGGCGAAACTAATTGAAATGAATGGAATTGCACAGGACACCAATAGCAATGAAAAGGAAACTGGGACTCAAATCAATGGAGTGGACCAGAAGAAAGCAAATAATGGCCAAACACAAAAGAGTCAAGAAGCAAGAATTCAAAGAAATGAGGAGAGTCTTAGGAACCTCCAGGACGTCTTTAAACGCTCCAACATCCAAATTATAGGGGTACCAGAAGGGGGAAAGGCACGGCCACCAGTGGAAATCTTATTTGAACAAATAATAAAGGAGAATTTCCCCAATCTGGCAAAGGAAATAGACTTCCAGGAAATCCAGGAAGCTCAGAGAGTACCAAAGTAGTTGGACCCAAGAAGGAACACACCAAGGCACATCATCATTACATTAGCCAAAATTAAAATGAAGGAGAGAATCCTGGAAGCAGCAAGAGCTAAGGGGACAGTCACCTACAAAGGAGTCCCCATCAGACTGTCAGTGGATTTCTCAAAAGAGACCTTACCGGCAAGAAGGGGCTGGAAAGAGGTATTCCAAGTCATGAAATCCAAAGACCTATATCCAAGATTGCTCTATCCAGCAAAACTTTCATTTAGAATGGAAGGACAGAGAAAGTGCTTCGCAGATAAGATCGAATTCAAGGAGTTCATCATCACCAAGCCCTTATTATATGAAATGTTAAAGGGACTTATCTAAGAAAAAGAAGTTAAAGAAACATAAACAGTGAAAGGACAACAAACTCACAGTTATTAACAACCACACCTAAAACAAAAGCAAACTAAAAGGACAGCTAGATCAGGAGTGGAAACATAGAAATGAAGATCTCAAGGAGGGTTAGCAACAGGGGAGTGGGAGAAGGAGAAGGGGGGGGAGAAGGTACAGAAAATAAGTAGCATAGACAGTAGAAAGAAAATAGATGGGGGGGCAAGAATAGCATGGGAAATATAGAATCTAAAGGACTTGAGACACATGGTCATAAACTAAAGGGGGGTAATGGTGGGGATGGGGGGTAGGGTGGAGGGGAATGAAGGGGGGAATAGAACAACTGTAACAGCATAATCAATAAAAAAAATTAAAAACAAAACAAAACACAAAGTGTCTGGATGCTCAGTTTGGAGACTGAGGAGCACGGTCACATTTCTATCTACACAGGTACCAGACTCCTAATACTGAGGCAAGGGCTCGGGCGGCAAGGGCACCGCAGAGAAACGCACCAGAGCCTGTTGTCCTGGGTCCAGAGCGAGAGCTCGGAGAGTGGGGGGCAGGCAGCCAAAGGGGCCTGTGACGTGACCCGCTGCTTCGAGCTCCGCTGTGCATGTCACATTGGAATGCTCACGGCCGCTCGGGGACCATCGGCCCCATTTTACGGATGAGAAAACTGAGGTGGGGGAAAGGGCGTTAGCCCAAGGTCAAGGCTGAGAGAGGCCAGGGGCTGTGGGTACACGCCCCAGCCCAGGGTCGTGCCCTACCGAATTTGGAGAAGAGCTGCTCCAGGTCCTCCTCGGTGCTGGTGTAGGGCAGGTTCCGCACAAAGAGCCTCCCGGAGTCCGCCAGGTCCTCCTCCTCCTCGTTCTCCCCGAGCGTCCGGCCTTGCCAGGGTTTGGCACTACTCTTCAGGGGCCCCTTGGTGATGGGGACGTTCTGCTCCCTGAATACCTCGATGTAGCGGCCCCCTGCACGAGGAAAGGGGTCAGGGCTCCGGGGGCAGGCCCGGGGCTTGCCAGGGACTCTGCGCTGGCTGCTGGGGCCTGGCGGGGCTGCTAGGCCTCCTGCTCCGTATTCTTCCACCACTGGGCCCGTCGGACTCCTTCCCGTCTCTCCCCCTGCACGTGCGTCTACTCTAACGCAGGGCACAAGGGCAGGGACTCTGGTCTGCTCTGCTGAGTCCTGCCTCCCCAGTGCCCGGAGCAGGGCATGGCACACAGCAGACTGAGGCGAAAGGAGCATGTGACCCACTCAATGGACCCCTGGCACCACGAGACCGGCACGGGTCCCACTGTCCTCACCCATGTATTCTCTGTTGCATTTCAAAGCTTTCTTCACTTCCTCCTCGCTGCTGAAATCCACAAAGATGTACCCTAAGGAAGGACAAGGACCATGACAAAGGTCAGATCACAGGCCCTCGGGACATGCAAGGAGTCACCCACGATGTGCTAGGTGTTCGGGAGAATCTGAGTGGAAAGTGGGGGAAAACCTCTGTGCGCACCAGGTCTCCAAATGCAAGACCTCTCCCCCCACCCCCTCGGCCATGTCTCCCTCCGCAGGGAGCGTTTGGACCCCGGGCCTGGTTTCACAGGATGAAGCTGGAGCACGGGCGTCAGAAACACAGGGCCTCTGCCTCCCCTCAGCCGCACCCGCCCGGACCAGGCCACTCCAGGGAAAATGGGCCTGTGGTGGCTGCGACCCAGCTCAGCACCGGAGGGGCCGTCTCCTCTGCCACTCTGCCCACGAGCCTGAGGCCCCGACACACACAGACACAGGGAGCCACCTCCGTCCTCCACCTCCCTGGGCTCAGCCCTTCGAGGCGCCATTCCCCGCCTCTCCGGAGTGCAATGCCCTGCCCGGGGGCCCGCTGCAACGCAAGCCATCCCACGGGGTTTGGTCTCCATCACAAGGCTGTTTGGGTTCCTCCCCGCCCTCTGCTCCAGCACCCAGACGCCTCACCTGCCGCATAAACTCCCTTCACTCTCTTCCCTCCTCTCCAGCCCCCTGCAGCCACGGAAGGGCCCCACCCACTGCTCATCCTCTGTGGGGTGGACTGCAAAAGACCCCCCCCACCGCCAGGGGCACTCTGCATCTGCCCCCGCCCTCCCTTTGCTTTAAGCCCCCAGAAGGCCCCTGCACCTGGGCTGACATCCACAGTCATTACCAAGCCCCCAGCCTGGGGGCCGCCTGCCACCTGCCGCCTCTGCAGCTCTGCAGTGGGGACATTCTGTCACTTCTCTGAAGCGTCCGGCTCCAAGGCCTCCAATTCGGTCCCCCAGTCCTGACAACTCCAGAATGTTCCCCCTGCCCTGCCCCAGCCACTCATGGCCCCCTTCTGGTCTCTGAAGTGCCCTGGAAGCAGGGGTACCGCCATCCAGCACCACCGGCATTAACAGTGACTCTCAGGGGGTCGGGAGAGTGCGATGGGTGTCTGGCACTGTTTAAACGCAGTGTGTTAACTCACTGGTCCTCACGGCCGAATCAGACACGGCGCCCTCCTGCAGAGAGCGGTGGCCGGTCAAGGGCCCTGCCCGGCGACCAGCAATCAGAGGAGAGCCGGGCAGGAGGTGCAGTACCTCCTCGACAGGAGGTCTAGACAGGACCAGCCCTAGAGCAGGAGCCCCTCCTTCCCCGACGCGGGCCCCCGCTGGTCCCAGCCGCCCTGGCCCGTGCCGGCGCCTCCTTGCTAAGGCCGGCCTGCGTGCCCAGCGCTGCCCGGACGGCCTGGGCATGGTTCTCTGAGCAGAGCCAGCTCCGAGGCTGCGTGTCTTGTAGTCCCCGGCCTGACCCATGAGAGGCACGGGCAGGCTCCCACCTCTCCAAGCTCAGACCTTTCCTTCCAGCACGTGCCTCACCACAGAGCAGCCAGACCCAGGGCTCCAAAGCCCAGGGGGAGTGAGTGGGCTGGCTGCCCGGAGTGGGAACCCGGGGGCGGGCAGTGAGGGGGAGATGGTGCACACTCTTGGCAACTCAGGGTGCCGCCTGTCGGCACCGAGGCCCAGGGACTTCGCTCAGTGAACCCCAGGTCCGGGCCCGTCTCCCCAAAGCCACAGGTGAGCCCGCGGGCATTCGTGTGGGCCGAGTAGAAGGCGGGAATAAAAGAGAAACAGGAGAACCACACACCAGGCGGCCAGAGGCCGGGACAAGAGGCGGACCCTTGTCCCCGGCAGTCTAACCAAGCCACAGAACCACCGACAGGAGGAAGAGCAGCCGCCCTTCCGGTGTCCCCCCGGTCCAGCCGCACCAGCCCCCCGACACCCCCAACCTCACCTGTTTTGTTCCCGTGGGCGTTTCTCACTATTCGGATGGCCACCGGCTTCAGGGGTGCCAGGAATTCCAGCACGTTCTTCTGTAAGGAGAAGGGAGGTTCCCCTTTACCGACCCCACAGTGACAGTGCAACCCAGAGAAAGAAACCAGCCAAACTTCTGAACTCGGAAGGGACACCAGGGCGGCCTGTCCTTACCGCTTCTCGCTTTCCTCTAAACTGCACGCCTTTCCTCCACTGCTACATAAGACTGACTTGGAAAGAGCCCGGAAAGAAACTGGACTTGAAGAGCATAAACGTGAAACAGCAACGCCACCGCCAGCACTCGAAAGCAACGCGTCTGGTCTTGTTTTCCCCCAAGTGGCTCTTCACACACTCGGCTCGGACCGGCCCTGCCGCGGCCCCCCGGCATCACGCCTTCACCACGTCCGTGCGCCCGCACCAAACACGGACACGGAGCAAGTGCCACCCACGACCTGCAGCTAACACTGGTCCTTACACTTCAGAAGGACTATTTTACAAAGAAGAAAAGGAGGAGCAGGAGCAGAGGAATAATAATAACAGTGACGCACAACGGGAAGGATGTGGACACGGCCCATGACGTCTAAAACGTGACCTTCGCAGAATGAAACCCGCTAACTCTGAGTGCGCAGAACGCCAACTGCGTTATTATTTATCAAGTGAGAGTAGAAGCAACCCCACACCCACCCCGCCCCCGACCTAGGACACGGGGTGACTCTGTCCCTGTGTGTCCAGGGTAAGGTCTACGCGCACGTGAAAGACCATTTCGTAGCCCAGCAGTCGACATTCAGAGACATTCGTGACCTAACTTAACGACGAGGGTGGGTTTAAGACAGGTCCTGCCGCAGCGCAGGGCTGGTTTTGGAAAACGACGGGCGGGGCTCGCTGTTGCACACCAAGGAAGAAACGTGGGAGGAGATGAACCCAGGTTCGAGAGTGGCCGTCGCCAGGTGGGACTTGCATGAGGAGGGGGACTTTACCGGGTGTTCTCGGCCGCAGACACCGAGCCAGCCCACTACAATGTGTGGCCCCTTCAGGCCCACACCTGTCTCTGTGAACGGGGTGCCACGGTCACAGTCACAGGGCCGTGCCTACTTGGGGCAGTTACCGTCGCCCAAGGCCACCTCTGCAGCCCAGACTGTGGACCACGAAGCCTCCAATACCTGGCAGTGGGGCCTTTCCCCTCTTCCAACGGCAGAAGCCTGTCGCTCCTTGTGCACGGGCTCCGAGAGTGGAACTGGTCTTTCTCGGGCTCGGAACAGCCACGCACTCCTGACCCTGACAATGCCTGACACCTTACTTACCAGCCTTTTGGCCCCCGATTCTCTCCAGTTCAAGTCCTCAGCTGGTCCTGAACCCCTAGGCTGCAGAGGCCCCTGGCACCCCACCCTCACGTTTGGCTCCCCATCCTTGCCCCCAGGGTGTGGCACAAACCTCTGTGACGTTGAACGGGGCTCCCCGCAGCTTCACCGTGTGGGCAGTGGTGGGCTCCCTGGGGGCTGCTGGTTTCTCCGTCTGAGGACGGCAAGGAACAAACAAACAGGGGCAAGGTGAGTCCCCTGCACCAGGGACATCTTGCTCCCGGATGTCTCCGTGAGCTCGCAGAGGTGCAGCTACCAGGAGAGCCAGGGACGCTGGCAGGGCTTGCCCCGTGGACACGCAGTCCGGCCAGTGGGCAGATGGAGCGTGCTCACGGGGGCCCGGGCTGCGAGGAGGGGCGGAGAGCGTGGGAACAGCCCGGGGCGAGGCCATGTTCGCCACCGCCGATTCAGGGCCCGGTCCGTGCCGACGCGGTGCAGAGCCCTGCGCAGACTCCGCTCGCCAGCAGAGTCTCCAAGTGACCTGAGGGAACTGCTGGGTTCAGGGTCTTCGCTGTAATTCTGGAATCCAAACAGCTCTGAAAACCCCAAATTTTGGTAACTTTTTTGGCAATAAAACCCGCTCAAACTTGAACTCATTTGCCAGTGAAGCCCACTCCGTCTGAGGGACTTTTGAGGTGATACCTTTCCCACGAAGCACGACTGGTCACTCCTGGACTCACCGCACAAATGGCCGTGAACTTGCCTGGGGTGCAAGATCGCACAGGACACAGGTGGCTTCCTGAAACCCAGGGTCTCCTGAGCGGCAGTGCCCACTCTGGCACAGGCACCCGGAGACGAGGGCCTGGGGACCCTGACGACACAATGCTCTGTCCCATCTCCCAAGAGAGGCAGAGGCCCCCGGGGGGGAGATGAGGTGGCGGCCACAGGGGTCGCACCTGCATTTCTAACCTGAACCTCAGAGCCTGGCAGACCTGGGTCTGCATCCTGGTTCCTTCACTCCCCAGCCATGACCTTAGGGAAGTCACTTCCCTCCTCTGTAAAGCAGGACATGAAGGATACCTGCCCCCGACTGCCATGAGAGCCACAACGAATGCTGCGGCAGGTATTGCACCTGTAGCATTAAGTAAGTGCTCCATTAACCTTGTTACTGTTGACTGGGGGCTGACATCTGTCCACATGGCCACTAAACACAAAGCAGAAGATGCCAGTACCCTCCAGCACCTCCCTCCGGAAGGCAGCCAGGCCTCAGGCCTGCAGGGGACATGGGCGGGGGCGTGCAGACCTCCTCCTCTGCCCCCCTGCCCCGAGCCCAGCACACCCCAGCCCACACACACCTCGGCTCTGGCCTCCCGTGGTTTCTTGTTCCCAGACGGTGTCCCCTGTTCTGGGCCTGGCCTTGTCCTGTCTTGGTCCTGCTGGGTGGGGGCAGCACAGGGATCCCCCTCCTCATCCTCGCTCCCTTCCTCACAGTTCACGGCTTCATCCTCACTCTCCTCCCCGGAGGAGGGCGGCGTGTCGGCCCCCACCACCTTGGATTTCAGGTACTCCATGTCCGACAGCTCCTTCTGCACAGCGGCCTTCGGTTCGGGGCCGTCACCCTCTCCTGGGAAGACAGCGGGGCTGGGAATCAGCAAGTCACGTGCACACCAGGGGGCTGGACGGTGCCACGCCCACAACCAGGGGCCGCACAGCCCCAGTGGGTCCTCTGATACCTGTCACACAGGGTGAGCTGTGGGAGTTTTGACACTTTTCGTGCCTCACGTACAGAACTACGTGGCTCCTCGCACCAGCCTCACCCTGGTCATCGGTTCTTTCCGTTGGGATCGGGGGTCTTTTTGCCATTCCAGGTGAAACCCCCAGTGGTTTCCAGGGCTCACAGGGGGAAACCGGAGCCCTGGCCCCACCCACCAGCTCCCAGGGCCGCAGCCGCCTGAGCCGCACAGAGCGCCCTCCACCTGCAACCCCTGCCTGCCTCTCCCCTACGGCGTCCCACCAACTCCGGCTTTTCACAGAAGCTTAACCACGCGCAGCATTCACTTCAAATTCATTCCCTCGCTTTAAGCCAAAGGTGATTCCCTACCCTCGACCACCCTTATTCTGGATCGCAGCTGCTCACATACCCATCCGTTCCCCCTCCCCCACTCCGTGAGCACCTTCTGAGGGCGGGGCTCCTCCCTCGCCTCCTCCAAGCTGGGTCACGGGTTGTGTCCCCAGAGGCCTTCTCTGGGGACTCTCCTCTCCCCTCTCCTGCCTCTTCTCTGCAGTACCCGGCTTCAGGTCACATACTAAACAGGGGACTTATTCCTTGTGGTGTCTCGGAGGCAGGATTCTCCCATCTTTTGCTCACTGTTGTATCCCCAATGCCTAAATCTGTGCCTGGTGTACAGTTAAGTGCTTCACATCTAAGTGAATGAATGAATGAATAATTGACTGAGATCAGTCAAGGCCAATGTTCCTGCCGTTGGGATAACTAACCCCACCGAGGGGCCCCATGCTGGTGCAAGCCCACCAAAGCGCAGGCCCACGCGTGTGCGGGAACTCACAGATGTATGGCAATGGCCTTACCTTCTGGGCCCTCCCCAGACCCCTCCTCCTCGCTCTCCTGGCCCGAATCGGAGTCGAAGTTCAGGTAGTCACTGGCTGGCTTGCTCTTCCCTTTTGAGGGCTCCAGGTCCAGGGCATCATTAGCCCAAGTGGCTGCCTGCATCCGCTTCTGGTGGACCGACAGGAACTCCCGGAACTCGGTGTCCTTCTTCAGCTGGTGGCACCGCAGTGGGGCAACAGGAAGAAGAGAAGACTCGGGTCAGACTCACCCCCCCTCCTAACTCTCAGGTGCATAAGAGCATCCTCCAAGTTCGTTTCCCCCCATGGCTGAGGGACCCCTGGGGTCAGCTGGGTCAGTCCTGGGAGGGCAGAGTGGACTCTTCCCCCGATAGAAGACTAAGAAGCCCCAAGCATGGCTCTGCTGGACGCCTGCTCCCGGCCACTACCGCCCTCCCAGGACCATGCCTGGGTGCCCACGCTCTCCGTCAACAGGACAGACTCACCTTCTCCAGCTCACTTGCTGATTTTTTCTTCTTGTCCTAAAAACAGAAGGCACGGACAGTGAGGGTCACAGAGGAAGCACGAGAGAGGGGAGATGGAACTGTCCTGCCCCCAGAGGGCCCGCCTTCAGGGACTGTCGAGTCGGACTCTCGGGCCAGCCCTGTTCCCACCATCCTGAGCCCCCAGGGGTCACCACCCTGCTGACACCGGGCTGGGGGGTGGGAGTGACCTTCCACGCACTTTCTTAGCTTCTAGGGGGACAGAGTCTTTGTCCTTTGGAGATGGCTTGGGTTGGCTTGGTTTCTGGGCATGCTTGCTCCAGGCTCGGGGCTTTGTCGGGTCCCCAAATGACTTGCAGAACTCCACCTGCACGGGAGAGAGAGGGTGATGACGGTGACACCTGCCACTGTGCCCAGCCCCGGGTGCCCCACTGCAGCACCTCAGAGCTGGGGCTTTTTAAAGGGCAATTGCCATTGACTAGCTGAGTTGGCTGAAGCAAATCACCTGTCCTCCCCTAGCCTTGTCTTTGCCCTCTTTAAAGTCACCGTGGTCGCTAACACTTACTGAAGAGCCCCTCAGGCCAGGGAGTCTCGGTGCTCGGTGATCTGTGGGTGTAAGTACTTGACCGGCCCGACAGTGCAGGGGAGGGACCGTGACCTCCCTACCTCTCAGATCCGGGCACTGAAGCATGGGGAAGCTCAGGGACTTGCCCCAGCCCCCGGGCACAGAGTGACAGAAGGGAGACTGGAACTCTGAGACTCTGGCTCTGGAGCTCGGGTTCCCTGCCGTCCAATCCAAAGGGTGGCACCAGGTCACGGCACAAGGTGAGGCAGAACGAATGGCTCTCATTTCACCGCACTCACCATGAAGTGCTGAGTTCGAGAACAGCTAGCCTGAGAACAGCTGTTGGGCACTGAGAAAAGCAGGGCACCCCTCTGGGGCAGGGGGGAGCGCCGAGTGTCGCGCCTAAGCTGACACTCCTCTCTGGCCCTAACCCTCCAACAGCCACCTCTTACACACCCGAGGTGACCTTTGTAAGAGGTGGCCCTGCCAGGGGCCCTGGGGGGCACTTCCTGCCACAGTCAGGGGGACACCCTCAACCAGCTACTCCCCCCGGGAAGGAGCCACCACTGTGCCACACCCCTTCATGTGCACCTCTCAAAATAGCTCTGTTGTTTCAGTGATAATGACGTATGCTCAACATATAAGATTCAAACAACAGCACAAAATACAGGAAAGTGAAAAAAGTTTTTTACCCCAATTCCTTCCTATCACCCAGAGGGAGAAACTACTATCCTGGTAAATATCCTTCCACGTGGCTCTATGCACCATCACACACACACAGATAGAGGAAAATGATTCTACAAATAGGGTCACATGATGGATACTGTTCAGTATCTGGTTTTTCCTTTCTCCATAAAGTGTTACAAAAGTTTTTACCAAGTGGTTAAATGCACATGAATGACATGTGTGGGACCTCCTCCTCCAGGAAGCTCTCCTGACTCACCACTCACTCCCAGCAAGGAAAGAGGCCCCTTTTTCTTCAGCACTGGCCACACGGATTGAAAGCAGCCTCTTTACCTGGCGTCCCCCTTCCCCCTGCCTGTCTGTAGGCTGTTGGCTCCATGAGGATGGGGCCAGGGGTACCACGCTCTCTCTAAGTTCCCGGTACCAAGTAAGCGCTCCCTGAGTGCCTGCCGAACAGGTTCATGAACGAATGATGCACACAGGTGGTATCGCATCACCTGTGAGCTTGTCAGACATGCAAATTCTTGACATGCAAATTCTTGGGTCCCCAACATACTGCATGAGAAACTCTGAAAACGGGCCCCAGGAAACTGTTTTAACAAGCTCTCCAGGGGGCCTGTAGGCATTAAGGGCTGAGAACAAGTGAGGAACACCGATGAGTCACAGCCCGAAAGGGGACAGGAGGGTGGAAGGAAAGATCCTTTTCGACAGACAGGCAGGGGCGAGACTCATGCCAACTCACCGTGATTCGGGAAGTGTCAACAAAACTCCTGTTGAAATGGTTCAGGGCCTTCTGGGCCTCTTCCTCGGACTTGAAGCCGATGAAGCCGAACTTGCGGAACTTGCCATCTTTGGTGAACTTCAGGCTGCAGTCCGTCAGCGTGCCAAAGGCAGCGAACAGCTGCTTGAAACGCTCCTCCTTCATCTAGGGCAGAAGGGACACCGTAAGGCAGGGAGCTGGGAGGCCTCAGATCTGAGAGGGGACAGAGTGGGCTGGAGAGTGGAGGCCGCAGCTTCCCCAGGAACCATGCTTTACAATTAGACCTGGTTCCAGCTCTCACTTCAGCACTTACTGGCCGTGTGGCCTTGAGCAAGTCCCCTACCCACTTCATCACCGAGGAAACCAAGACTCGGAACGGCTTTGATGAAATCTTCCTATTTTGGGGGCTGTCAGGATAGAACAAACTTTGCTTCTCCTTTCATGCACTACTGTACTACTGATTGAATTTTTAAAATTGTATCATAGTACCCCCCCCCCAATCCCCAACCCGGGGTGGAGACATAAAGTTAGAAAATCACAGCAATGAAACAGAAATGGCTTTGTGTCCTTACACTTTCTAAGGAGAGAGAGTCCCAGAGGGCAGAGTCAAGAGCACAGAAGATGTGCTGTAGCATCCAAATGGCACATTTTGGATTTCAGGAGTGAGTTTATTAGCAGCAGCACTGCAGAAAGTTTTCCATGCATGAAAAAGTGTAGGGAGATAGGTAAGGATGGTCCCCTGCACCCAGTCATCTGACATCTCACACGTTCATCTATTTCTTCACTCATTTACTGGGCATGTGTTTACTGAATGCCTACCACTGGTTCTGTGCTGGATTCTAGGGGAACGGAAACAAGTGTGCTAGACAATGGTTTAAAGCCCTGCACACCTGCATCCTTGAGACTCAGCTGTCTCAAGGTAATCCGTCATGCCCTCGGGACGGCACTGGGAATTGGAACGCAGGCCCTAAGCCTATTCACTTCCTAACAGTCCTGAGTACGAAAAGGCTACAGGAGCAGTGTGTGACCCAGTCAAGTCAGTAACATAGTGGGATCGGACGAGAGGGGTTGTGGGAGCAGACATTCGGAACGAGGTGGGGACAGGCATCTGCCTGGGAAAAGTTGTCCATCTGCGGGTCAGGTCCACACAGGCTAGCTGTGAAGCCTTGAGCAGTCGCTATCCGCCTCTCCCACTGTCAAGTGGAGATAGGCCGAAGATCCTGCCCTCCTGGTTTTTGAATCCGCTCGGAATCCTGCCCCGGAGAGAAAACCCCTCAATTCTTCCCAACCGCCTCCCTACCAACCCCCGGGGCTCCTGATTGGTCCTGACTTCTCATCCCCCCCCCCGCCCCGGTCACGCCTTACACTCACCCCATTCGGGAGGTTCTTCACAATCAATCGCGACATGGTACACGGTGCCACCGACTTGATTCCAGCACGGAGGGATAGCGTCTTCCACCAACCGCTTTCACGCTGCAGCGATGGGCGCCGCCATCTTCCACGAGCCGGAATACAGTCACGTGCTCCAGACCTAGGCCAGCCCCGGAAGTGGGAGTGGTCAAAGTCAGAGTGACCTAAGGAAGTCACACCCACAAGGGGCGGACCTGACGCTTGCATTCTGCGCAGGCGCAGGCTGTTTGGCGGTGCCCGATGAGACCAATGCAAAGTCGGCAGGGGGCGCTGGTGCCTAACACAGGCGGGGGATTGCGGAGGATTGCGGGGGGCTTCTGCAGCTGGGTGGATGAGGAAATCATTTCAGTCTTCTTTACTACTTTATGTTACTGGGTCCTAAACTTGAGCATGCGGACAGGATTGGGGATTCTTGCTTCTCTCTAGAAATGAGGAAACAGGCCCAGAGAGGTTGCCAATTGCCACGAGTCAATTATGGAGCATCGCTTGTGAATATTGGAATGTGTGCGTGGGAAATAAAGCACCCCATTTGCCCGCGAGTAAGCCGGGAACCAGAGAAGTAAAGCAGCGTCCTCTAAGTCGTGTGGCCATTAAGCATTATGTGGCATTGGGGAATTAAGTAGTTTTAAATGATAGGATTACGGTGTGTGTTGGTTTCTGGAACTGCTGTACCAAATTACCAGCAATTTAGAGGCTGAAAACAACAGAAGTCTTTTTCTGTCAGTTCTTGGAGGCCAGAAATCGGGAATCAGCGTGCCAGCTAGGTGGCGCTGCCTCCGCAGGCCCTAGGGGAGAATCCTTCCCCTCTCTTTCCGGCCCCTGGTGGCTCCAGGTGTTCCTCGACTGGTAATTCACAACCCTTCCTCCCCCTCCATCTTCACGTGGGCTTCTCCTCTCTGGTGTTTGAGCCAAATCTGTGCCCTCTTTTCTCTTATTAGGACACTGCCATTGGGTTTAGGGGCCATCCTAAATCTTGAATGATCTCACCTCGAAATCCTTTATAGATGCTAAGAAGGTCACTCCTAGGTTCCAGGGATTAGAACGTGGTCATATCTTTTTGGGGGGGGGGACACTATTCAATCCACCACCAGAAGATTTACTGGCTCTCTAGTAAGTTACCCTGAAGATCGAATTTCACCCTCTGCCAGTTTTCTGTTGACTGTTTATTCAGTGCAAACACACAGGCACATGCAAAAATGTACCCTGGAGACTAGAGCCCATGCCCGGGGTTTCTGTGTTTGAAAGTCACTTATTTACTTAATGAATATGTATTGATATGTGTGAAGTACTTTTTAGTTAAATGACAATTTGGGTGTTTCCCCCCCTGCAATTGGTGACTTGGGTCAGGACCGGCTGGAGCAGGCTTTATGAAGCTGCTCCAAGATGTTAGCCTTTTATGAGAGGTCAAGTGTGGGTTGCCCAGCCAGTCCTGGTTTCGTGTTCTTTTATTTTATTATTTTCATGAACTGCCTTTATTAAAACGAGCAACTCCACGTAGCCTCCCCTCAAGAAATTCACAAATCAGAAGGTATTAAAAGAAAATGAAATGCGCTTTGCCAATCCACACATTTCAGCGCCGGGCCAAGAAAATATGGTTGCCACATGTCGCAGTCAGAGGGACCGTTCCTGGGCTGTATATTCCCGGGCATTTAATAAACAGCCACGTTATACGGTTATTATTAGTCTCCTTGCTCTCCTGACTTCCTGTTTTGTCTTCTGTCTCCTTTTCTCCCCCAGCAAATGTGATCGGGGGCACCTGGACCCCACCGGGCTGGCCTCTGATTACACCTGGGAATTAAAAAAAAAAAGACAACAAATGAGCCAGGTGTGAGCCAGCCCCACTCACGGCTGCCTTCGCCAGTGGGGCTGCACCTGAGGGAATTAACTTCCCATCAAGGAAAGGCCAGAAGTGGGGAGGGAGGTTGGGAGGGGCTGAATGAGGTGGGTTGGAGAGCCAACACTGAGCTCCACATTCTCCACGTGAGAAGTCTAATTAGGGGAGAACTGTCAGGCAAACCCCAGTGGAGGGACCGCCTACAAAATCCCAGAATGCTTCAAAAACTCCAAGCGCACCCTGGCCTAGCAGCTTGGTTGGCTGGAGCATCCTCCCGATTTGCTGAGGCTGTGTTGTGGGTTTGATCTCCAGTGAGGGCACCTGCAAGAATCACCTAATGAAGGCACGAGAACGTGGAGAGACAAATGGACAAATTATCTCTCTCTCTCCCTTCTTCTCTCTCTCCAAACAAACAGGAAAAAGGAAAAAAACAACCAAGATCATTACAAACAAGAAAAGTATGAGATACTGTCACAGCCAAGAGGAGCCCAAAGGATGGTGGCAACTAAAGGGGACGTGGGGTCCTGAGACAGCCAATGGATGTAGGGAGAAACTGGGACGTGGAAAGAAAGCATGGCCTTTAGTTAACAATAAGGTGTTCCTATTTAATTAATTGAGACAAGTGCAACGCAGGAACGCCGACAACAGGGGGCGCTGGATGCAGCCTATGTGAAAACTAATAGTCTCACAACTGTTCCGTAAACCTAAATGGATTCTAAACTAAGGGGCTCTTTAAATGTTTTTAAAAAGATACTGAGAATTAAAAGGATGGAGGACCTCATTATTTACCGATGTGGAATAATTGTCAAGGGCCATTATCAAAGGCAGCAGGAGAGCCGCGGACACACGCTTCCTTCCTGACCCCCCCCCCCAAAAAAAAAGTCTCTCTCTGCGTGCTTGGAGCTCCACGCAGGTCAGCAAACTCTGTCCTGGGCCATGTTTGGCTTGCTGCCCATTTTTCCACGGCTGCGCCCAGCTAATAAGAATGTTTTCCATTTTTATTTTTATTTAATCTTTATTGTATTTTTTCCATTCCCATTAAGTCCCCTTTATCCACACCCCCCCCCGCCCCAGGAATCACCACACTGTTGTCCATGAATCTTTATTCTGTTTTGCTCAATCCCTCCAGCCCTTAACTTCCTCCACATTTTCAAATGGTTGGGGGGAAAAGTCCAAAGAAAAATGATGTTTTGTGACTCATAAAATGATAGGGAATTCAAATCGCAGTATCCCTCAATAAAGTTTTATTGGCACAGAGCCACGCCCATTCACGCACACCTCGTCTGTGGCTGCTCTTTTGTTGTTGATGAAAGAGTGGAGTTGGGTAGTTTCAACAGAGACCATCACGAAGCAGAACATGCTCACTGCCTGGCCCTTTGTAGAAAATGCTTGATTTTTTCCCCCTGCCCTTGGCTGTCTCTGAGGGAGCAAAGGAGAGATTGGTAATAGGGTTTTCTCTAAAAAGAACAGGACTGCCACGGGGAGAAGGGTAATTGCTGTTGGGTGTGTGCGTTGAATCTGTTTTTAGAATCTAATTCACTTTTCTTCTCCCGGTCCAATATTCACAGTGCTATTCCTCGTCATATTTCCTTAGACTCCTTTAGAATCTGCTGTGTGTTCTCAGTCTTTCTTCTTTCATGATCCTGATGCTTTCGTTTGAAGGCTCCCAGCCAGCTGCGTTAGAGAGTGCCTCTCGGCATGAATTAATCTGATATTTCCACACAATTCCGTTCAGTTAAGATGTGAATTTGTCCCTAAGTGGCCGATGGGAACTCAGCTCGCCTGGTTAAGGCGCCGTCTGCCAGTTTCCTTCTCTGGCAAACTGTCCCCTTTGTCACCAATGAGCCTTGTGCGGGTCTAAGAAATATTGCCCATATTTAGAAAGAGTCAGAGACAGTCACGGTCTTCCTAATTGTTGACACACAGGGAAACAGAGGCCCGGAAAGGAGAAAATACACACTCAAGGTCACACAGTGGGGACCAAGGTCAGGTTCAAGACGACTCCTTTTGTTCCTCTCTACCTGTGGATACAGGGATCAGGAAGTTGGGGCAGCTGCGGGGTGCCAAAGACCATTGCCCTGTGTGTCCCCACCACCTGACACCTCGAAAGCGGCCCCAGCATTTCACGGCCCGTCACCCCAGGAGCCCCTCAGGAGAGCAGCCCCCTCCTCTAAAGCATCTGCAGAAGAGCCTCAAGGGATCGAGGTGGCCAGAGTCACTTGAGACAGGAGACCAGGTGTGCACCAGCCTCAGCCACACCTGCATGGACATCAGAAAGCTCACTGGGGGCAGATGGCGGCCGAACCTTGCCCCTCCCCTCCAGGCCCTGCTGGGGACTGAACATCAGAGCTGTGGGGGCCCCTCCTGCTTTCGGCAGCAAACCATAAATATTCGCAACAGAAGTCGCAAATCATTCATCAAACAGAACGGGGCTGGGGAAAGCTCAGCCCGTTCTGAGGAGACAAGCAGATGGGGGTCTTACCCAGGAGTCTGGAGGCCCCGAATTCCCATGCCTGTTTAATCCTGCTGGCTGCCATGCTGGCCCAGGCCCGAGGCAGGGCGTCCTGGGGATGAACTGCAAATAAAACCAGAATCATCCTTCATTTTCTCATTTTTTCAGCTGTGCCGTGGGCAGATTCCTCCTATGCACAAAAGGACCACCAAGGCCCGGTTTGGAAAGAAAGTTTATGTCTTCACTTTGACCTTGAGGTCCTTTGAGGTGCAACCACAGACCTCCACTCCGCACCCCTCAGCCCCAGCCAGGCTGGTCACTTTCTGCTTTTCCAATGGGCAGCCCTTGTTCTCACCTGCTGTGGCTCAAATGGTGTCCCCATCAACCCATGTTGAAGTCCCGGGAATCTGTGGGTGTGACCTCATCCAGAAAGAGGGTCTTTGTCAATATAATCAGTTAAGGATGTTGAGAGGAGATCATCCTGGGTGTAGGGCGGGCCTCGAAGTCAATGTCTGGTGTCCTGGTAAGGAGGCCACGTGGAAACACAGACACACAGGGAGACCTGCAGGCAATCACAGAGGCAGATCTTCAGTGACGCAGCCACAAGCCAAGGGCTGCTGGCAACCACCAGAAGCTGGACGAGCCCTCGGAGCCAGCACAGCCCCACGAGCACCATGGTTTCAGCACTGTGCGAGGACACATTTCTGTCCTTTAAGCCACCCAGACTGTGGTGAAGTGTTGCAGGGACCCCTTGGGAGACTAACACCACCTCAGGGCCTTTGCACATCCTGAGCTCGCCCTGCAACTCTTCATCTGACCACGTCT